AGCTGCTGAGCATGTTAACTGTTTGTACCTCCCAGGTGCTCCTTAAGCCTTAGTTTATATGTAAAATAGAGATGATAATGATTTCCACCTCATGGGTTGTTAGGAAGATTAAGTGAGATCGTTTCTACTAAGCATTTAGCACTGTATCTGCTACATGTAAACAATAAATGGAAGGACTAAAATTATGATGATATGACCTATCTCCCAGGATTAATATGGGTGAAATAAGAAAATGTATGTGAAAGCATGTTTTAAACAGAAAAACATTACACCTTCTCTGTCCCTTTTCAAGGATGTTTGTCATTGTTTATTATCAGTTCATGTACCTTTTCAACTCACTAGTTTGTGTACTTTTCCAAATCAGAGACTACATCTTACCTCTGAATCCCACTCCAACACTTGTACAGTGTCCTGCACAAAGTATGTGCTTAGATAATTAAAAAAAAAAAACAAACAAAAAACTCACTGCTGTCGAGTCGGATCCAACTCATAGGGGCCCATCCTTGCGTTTCCGAGGCAGTATCACCACGGAATTAGATTGCCCAACCTTCCTTCTGAGGAGTGGCTGGTGGATTTGAACCACTGGCCTTCTGGTTAGCAGTCAAATGCCTTAGGCACTACACCACCTGAGCTCCTAATTCTCCTAACTTCCCTTCTGTTCTCCCATGATTGATCATTCCAAGGAGTGTATCTACCTGATGTAAATGTTCACCCTATATACCTGTCTGTCATTTGGCTAAAAGCCACAGAAATGAGTTCAGTTCCAGACCTGAAGGGTAAGTAGGGGCCATAGTCTCAGGGATCTCACCAGACTTTTATCAGACCAGCAAACCTGATCTTTTTATTATTTTATGATTTTGAGTTTTGTTCCACATTTTATCCCACTCTATCCAGAATCTGCACCAGTCCCCCTCTGAGTGGTTGACAGTGGTAGCCAGGCACCATCTAGTTCTTCTGGTCTCATGGTCATACAGGCTGAGGATCGCATGGCCTACCAATCCCTTAGACTAATTGTTTCCTTGTGTCTTGACACTCAACTGTTCTTAAAAATAACTTTTTCCTAGGAGAGGATGATGAAGGTCTTAGGGGAGGGTAAAGGAGAAGGGCAGGAATAATAGTTTTCTTATCTAAGCAACTGGTCCTGGAAGCTGGCACTTGGGCACATCTTCACAAACCTTAAATTGGAATTGATGCTATCAATCTGGATTAACTCTGATCATTATCAGCTGAAAGCTGTTGGCAGAGGTGTTTGGCATGCCCCTGGTTCACTAGCTGCAGAGTGCAGAGTCATGCCAACTTTGGTACACACTGGGGCTCCTCTCCCATGAGTGGGCTGGTGAGGCCAGTATTCTGCTTGGCTGGACAACAGGAGAAGGTGAGAAGTGCCAAAGTGAGATCTTTTTTGCTCTGACTCCCCAGCTAAAAGGGCTTCTCTCAGGAGCTCCTCTTTTACAGCCTCAGTGGCTCAGATGAGATAAATAGGCCAGTGTGCAAGGTCATCATTCCTACAGCCCCTGATGCTGCTGCAGAGGGGCCCCTGCAAAGTCACGTTCTGTGGATTGGCCCCTTGAAAGCCTCTCTTCTTGGTCTTGGAGAGAAGTCCTGGCTAATGGGCTAACACTGTTGCAGAAGTCGGTTTGTGGTAGGCCTAATCTGATTTGCCCTGAGTCCCTGACCCCATGGCATTTAGATGTCTATCCCCCTTTTTATTTTTAGTGCATGGAGTTGAGGCTGGCTTGCTCCTCCTCTGAGACAGGCTCCATTTCCCTATGAGTGAGGAAGCCAGCAGCAGGAAAGCTTGAGTATGAGCTGCAGGGGGCAAACCTAGAGACCAAGTTTTCAGAGAGTCTGCTGGGGATGCTCACTCTGTGCTGGTCAGAGTGGGAGCTGAAGCGCTTACTATTTTATAATAAATACTAATGCAATTCTAGATCTATAATAACATTTTAGATATCTAAAACAAACCATGTGCTTGTAAAAAAGTGGAAAGAGATCAACTTTAAGCCATAAATTCTTGGTAATAGAGGGTTTTTTTTCTATTTATGTTTGATAGATATTTTTGTTTCCAGAGGAATGTCAACTCCTAATTTCATAATGTATCATGGGCTTAAGAAAATTGAATTTAATAAAAGCCAAAGATGAATGGCATCCTTAAAGGTCCCAACACTTGTCTTTATTAGCAGGACAAACTGCAGGTCTCCAAACACTGCTTCTCTCCAAATGAAAGTTTAAATGAAAAGTACAGTTGTGTCACAGGTTAAATTTCATTGTGGGCCCAGCTAACATTGTTAGTGAGAAGCTGGCTGTATTTGTTTGCTTAGACACTAAGGCAGCCAAACTCACCAAGCTGTGGAGGTCTTTCTGTTGGGGGAAATGTTTCTTTGCTTTTCGTGGGTGAGGAAGGATATATCAGAAATTCAGGAGTCAGATGAACCTGGCCCAGGCAAGTTTGTTGTTAGGTGCTGTTGAGTTGGTTCTGATTCAGAATGAAACACTGCGCCATCCTCACATTTGTTGCTGTGTTTGAACTCACCATTGGCAGCGACTGTCTCACTCCATCTTGTTGAGGGTCTTTCTCTTTTTTGCTGACCCTGTACTTTACCAGCCATGATGTCCTTCTCTAGGAACTGTTCCCTCCTGTGATGTCCAAAGTATGTAAGATGAAGTCTTGTCATCTTCCCTTCTAAAGAGTATTCTGGCTTTACTTCTTCTAAGACAGATGTGTTCACTCTTCTGACAGTCCATGGTATATTCATACTCTTCACCAACACCATATTTCAAATGCATCAATTCTTTGGTCTTCCTTATTTATCATCCAGCTTTCGCATGCATATGAGATGATTGAAAATACCATGGCTTGGGTTAGGCATACCTTAGTTAATCAAGGTGACATCTTTGCTTTTTAACACTTTAAAGAGGTCTTTTGCAGCAGATTTGCCCAATACAATGTGTCATTTGACTTCTTGATTGCTGCTTGCATGGGTGTTGATTGTGGATCTGAGTAAAATGAAGTCTTTGTTGCTCATTGGTTCAGTTGTAAGGATTTTTGTTTTCTTTATGTTGAAGTATAATCCATACTGAAGGCTATAGTCTTTGATCTTCATCAGTAAGTGCTTCAAGCCCTCTTCACTTTCAGCAAGCAAGGTATGTCATCTGTGTATTACAGCATGCTAGCTCTTGGAAATCCCAGATGTCTGATTTTTCAGGGAAACTGTGTGTATTTTTTGTGTGTATGTTCTTCATTTCTCTCTGTTGTTCAGTGCAGAACCACCTCTATTTGGGCTTCTTTGTGGGCAATGAGAGGCCCAAGGAGTTGGGAAGTGAGTGTCCACCTCTCTTCATATCAGGATGAGAGGCATCACCTAGTGTAAACAGCTGCCGGGGCCTCCTCTCCATCTTCCTCTGCCTCAGCCTTGAAGCCTTCTGACCTTCCTATTCCTGGGGACTCCAGTCAGCTTCTCTATCTTTGGGGATCAGCCCAGGGTGACCAGGCAGTCCAGACCTTTGAATTTCTCTTCCTCTCACCTGGCATGATATCTGACTGCCTTGATTTGGTCTTCAGTCTTGTGATGTGCTGGATTGAAATAGATACTTTAAAACCAATTGCAATAGTAGTATGTTTTGCGGGGAGGAGACCTGGCTGCCCTGGGATTGTCAAGGTGATTGGCTATTTCTCCTTTGCCTTCCCACCCATTCATTTCCTAAGTGCAGTCAGGTGTCATCAGCTTCTTTGCTGTTTCTCCAAGCTGTCCCTGGGGAGAACCAATTTGCCTTGATTTTAGTGATACTGAAAAGGTCCTCTCCAGAATGGGGACCTGAGCAAGGGATGCCACTAGAGCTGACAGTCTGGGCCCCTAAGTGGGCAAAGCCCCCCTTCCTTCTCTGTAGCGGAGGCCTTTCCACATGCTAATTTTACTTAGAGGATTTGCTTTTATTTATTTTTTTTATTATTTCCTATTTGTCTCTTCCAGATGTTTTCAGGGCAGTTTTTTTGTGTTGTAAACTAATTCCATTCATGTTTTAAAAATTTATGAAAGCGCTAATAAAAATGTCAAAGTGGTAAAAATGTTAGCTTTTCCTCTGCTTTGATTAAATTTTGCAAACTGTTTTTGAATATTAAAAAGCCATAATTTTTTTTATTCTCTCTCCTTGCTTTCCCTCTTCTCTCTGGTGCATGTGTGCTCTCTCCTGCCCTCTCCCCCCTCTGGTGCGTTCCTCCCTTCCCAGGAGCGATGTATGAGGCGTGCTGCACAGCCAGCGTTCTGCAAGCCTGTTTGCACACCAGGACCTTGGTGCTGTGCATCTCTATTAAATAACGGAGACAAATTAATCTTAGAGACACCAAACAAATTGTCACTCCTCCTCTTTCTCTTCCATTGCGTTCCAGTGGACTGGGAAGAGCTGGTTAAACGATTGGAGGGGGATGCTGGGGGAGGGTGTACTGCCTGAAAGAAAGGTGGGAGGCACTAGCTTCTATTACTCTTACTCAGTTTTCTCTTTCTCTTTAGTATTCGCTTTAGCTTTATTTATTATTTATCTTTTTTATAAAAAGTAATGAAGAAACTCACTAGCTCTGTTTAAACTTTATATAAAGGAATCTATGCATTGATCTCATGGCTGGGTGTCTACGTGGCTGGAGATGCAAGTTCATTCCAGGATAGGGACCTGGGCAAGAGGAAGGGGGCCTGGTTTTAGGGGCTCAAATGAACAGGCCTCTGCTAGAGAATCAGTTGGGGAAGCAAGGGCAGTCTGTGCTTCTGTCTTTTTTTCCTTTTTCAGAGAGAATGGGCATGGGGGTGTGTCTAGTTCCCAGAACCTGTGATGACGTTAGTGATGAGAGGGCTAGGATTGTAACTGAGCTGGCACCATCTCATTCAGTCTTGGATTTGGCCTGGCAGTAGCTAGTGAGCACAAAAATCTCAATCTTGACTCTGAATTATTAATTGCAATGGTTGGTTATAATAACTGACTCCTCCTTTTCTATGTCTTTGCCACTCTAGGAAATCATTGAATTCCCCATCTTGAAGCTAAATGGTCGGACCATGGAGATTGAGTCTACCTTTCACATGTATGTCCAGCCTGTAGTCCATCCACAGCTTACCCCCTTCTGTACAGAGGTAAGGGCTCTGGATGTGGGAAGCAAGGGTTGCTGGGAGAAGAGCTTTTGGATCATTGGTGCTCTATACAGACCACTTAGGGGAATCTTAGGTCTTATCAGTATAGTCTTTATACCAAGTCTACCACACTACTCAGGCCCCTGTGGTCATTGTGGACCTGGGGATTGCACTGGCATAATCTGTTCCAGCTTCACCAACATTTTCCCTTCCTTTGCCATCCCTACCCTTTCCTGTGACTGGGAACTTGTAGTCCAGGAGCAGGATGATGCTTCTGGGGCTCGGGCTCTTTCTGGTTCCATTTTACCTAGGACTCCTTGGCAGCCATTTTCTAAGAGGTAAAAATTTCAATTACTTGAAGGGAGAGGTTATGTTCAGGCTTTCTTAGCTTTCCTGTTCTTCTGCAGAATGGCCCTGTGTAAAGCATAGGTTGCGTTTGTGGGACACATATGCTATCACCAAGGAGAGAAGGGCAATCATAGTAGGCGGAAATGTCCTTATCCTAAGCTGTTACTGTACTCTGCCACCTTGTCAGTAGATTAGTATTGGCCCTATTTTACATATTGTTTACATTTTACATAGAGATTTTGATGCTTGCTGAAGGATTAAAAGAGCCCTGAGAGTCTTGGTTCCCTGGACTGTATGGAGAAGTCTTCTTTGGTTGCCTTCCACTGTGATGCACCATGGTTTATGTATTCTGTGATGACCAACAGGCTGTAGTGAAATCACATGTCAAGAATGTGTAGTAGCAGAGCTGATGCAAAGACATCAGTGTTTCTAAAATCTTTGAGAGTTTGGGGCAGGGGTACACTAGAGGCTTTGTGCCTTCAATTTATATACCTACCTTCTACTTATGAATGAAATAGGGGGAAAGCAGTTCTGAGTATCCCACACAGTCTCCTTGGTGTGAAGGAAGTTGTGGAAGGGTTGTCTGATATGCTCTTGGGAAGAACCAGTGGGCTCTGAGGCTGACTTAGCCTAAGTGTGAGATCTTGAAGGTTGTGCCTAGACTTGATGACCCAGGTGGTACTTTGTTGTGGGCATCCATCTGCCAGTGACATTACTTTTAAACCAGATGTTTAGTCTTTAGCCTATTCCTTGTTCCATCTAATGATATTGGGGTTCTTGCTTGCTCTTTGGGCTACTGTTTTTTTTTTTTTTTTCCCCATTGGACTGCTAACCAGAAGGCTGGTGGGTCATACCTCCCAGCCACTCCTCGGCAGGAAGATTGGGCAATCTACTTCTGTAGTGATACCGCCTTGGAAACCCAAGCAGGGGTTGCTATGAGTTGGATCCAGCTCAATGGGAGGTTTGGGTCCCTTGCTAATTATCTATACTACAAGGGGGCGCTAATCTGTCCTTTTTGCCCCTTTTGAAAAATCACCATTTTGATGATGATGACAAGAGAAGGAAAGACTTTCTTTAAACCAGCCAGTCACCTGACCCCTCCACTGGTTTGGAAGTATAAATCAAACCAAACTCACTGCCATCGAGTCAATTCCGACTCATAGCGACCCCTCCTTGGGTTTCTGAGGCAGTATCTCTACAGAATTAGATTTCCCAGTCTTCCTTCTGAGAAGTGGCCAGTGGGTTTGAACCTTTAGCCTTCTGGTTAGCAGTCAGATGCCTTAGGCAATATGCCACCTGAGCTCCTCCACCCAAGTACTACCCTCCAAAATATGTATGTATATACTTGCCACCAAAGTATACACATACATATTTTAGAAGGTAATGGGATGATGGTATCAGATCCTTGTTATGAAGCTCTGTTCTGCAAGACAATATGTGGATGTGCTATAGGCACTCAGTCTACCGCTTTGTGTCGGGCTTCTAGAGCTCAGGGATCTCCATGATCTGGTCCCTGCTTTTTTTTCCTCCAGTCTCTCATCTTCCTGCTTTGTCTGCTCTGCTGCTCCTCTCAGCCAGAGTTGCCCTCTCACAGTTAGCCTTATACATGATGGTTCCTCTGCCTACACAATGCTCCCAGTCTATGCCCCCTAACTCCTACTTCTCCTCCAGAACTTTGCTCAGGGAGCCATCTACTTACCTCAACATAGCATTGATCAGATAGATTATATGGTCATTTATTCATCTGTCTCCCCACTAGACTGTGAGTTCCTTGAGGGCAGGAGCTAGATCTGATCTGTCTGTCTCTATCCTATCATCAGGATTTGGTACCAATAAACACTTACTATGTGTTCCTTAAATGAATGAATATTGTTAAGGAGTTATTCAACCACAACTCATGTCCAAAAAGCAACTGTACTGCTGACTTGCTCTTTTGAGTAAGTGAAGTATTTTTTGGAAAATCTTGGATCATGTAAATGGCTGGCCTACCTCCGTGCCAGATGTAATGGTATTATCATAGAGAAAAGCATGAACATAGGATGGTGGCCATCATTCTGAGACTTCATCTAATCTGGCAGTAGCTGCCCTTGGGAATAGGGGTGGAGGTCATTCTGGCAGAGGGGTCTTGTATTAGTAAATGTGAGGAACAGCCCTAACCTCCAGACTGTGCTTAAGCGGCTTCTCTGCTAGAGGATCTTCTCTCTTGCACAGGAAGCTATTAGAGAACTCTAGCCTTTGTGTGTGTGTGTACTCATGACATGGTGGTGTGAGGAGAGAGAAAAAGGTCTCAGTGCTGGGAGCAGGAAGGAGGATTCAGCCTCAAGCAAGTCTTTAGCTCACATATAGATGCTCTTTTACTACTTTGTGTAATGAACATGTTATTAGCCTTCTAGAGGCCCTTCCTTAGTTCCAGTTGATAGTCTGCCTGGAGACATGGTTGTAGCAGAGATAGGATGAGGTGTGTTTCTTTCTTTCTAAAGCCCTTTCCCTACCACCTCTAAAATCTGCTCCGACTCATCAGATCTCTGTCCCCAGCAGCTGGGCTGCTGCGCAGTCCCTGGCTGTGTGCACCCTTTTTTTTTTAATTGTTGTTAAAAAATACCCATTTTGCTAAACGCCAGTAAAGGGCTTTGTCTTGCACCTGTACTTATAAAGGGTGAGATTTATTGGTCTCTTTGTTTGAGGAGAAAGAGTGGGTCTGATTATCAGATTGCACACCAGAGACAAGTGCCTATGTAATCAACAAACTGTCTTGGTGTCAGAATACGATTGTGTTGGAGATAAACTGTGAAAGGAGAAAGCACTGGATGCTGACATGATATTGGCACTGAGTTTCCTGGGCGGCTTCCTGTAGTTGCTAGTGTTTTATGATGAAGCCAGCTCATTCCTGGACAAAGCCCTGTTGTGGGTAGGGAATCTCAGTAACCAGCCATGTTATCAGTCAGGGTCAAAAGCCCCTTGCCTTGTGGTTTCCGAGTCTGGAGAAGTGGGAGTTAATCTGTAATCCCTCAGTAAAAGGAGTCACAGAGCACACATTAATTCTTCTTCTCACCTCCCTTGCTTTAAGTGTTTAAGGTCGCTGAGCTCTGTTTAGCCTGTGAGTCCTGGTACTCAGCTTAATAATACTTAGCTTTGCTCTAGTACCTTTCATCCTGAGGATGTGAAAACTTTTTTACAAACATAAATTAACCCAAGTGGTAATGGGCTTAAGCTACAGCATGAAGGATTTAAATTTGGCCTAGGTAGAACTTCCCAGTATTAATTTTATACTATTCTCTCTCTCACACACAGCTTCTTATAGACGTATTATAGATAATCTTACAGGCTATCAGTATGAGGTATAGGGACAGACTTTCTTAATTTCACCCCCTGTGCATCCAGTGCCTTGGAAGAGCTGAGGGATAAGATGTGATCCATCTTTGGATCAGTACAGGAGAGTGAGGTCTCCCCGCTAGAAGGCTACATCTGGTTGACCCAGTAGCCCAAGTCCTTTTGTCTCTGGAGGTTGAGTCCTTTAGGAGCTCAGCTGTGAGCTGTGTCTTTCTGGCCCATGAGTAAAAATACCTATTTTTGTAGGAAGCATGTAGAAAAAGGGCACTAACCTCAGTAGGTTCATCGAGACTCATGATTCTAGGATTGTTGACCACTGGGGTGGGCCAGAATGGGAAAGCCCCAAGATCCTGAGGCTGCCAGATGGGAAGAGGCAGGCCTAGTGTAGAGTGAGAGTCCCTGCAGCAGGACATCAGAGTAGCACTTCAGTTTCCTTTTTGGTGTAGTGATTTTCTCTCCCACATCTGGGGCCCAGAACAGGTGATTGTTGGGTATACAGGTGCTAACTTAAGCCCTGTCTCCAAGGAGGGAAGATTCTTGGCAAGAGTGTTATTGTTTCCTGTATGAGTGGGACTTTATTGAAGCCCTTTGGTGTTCAGCTCATCTGAGTGCCCCTAGGGCTGGTGGGAGCCAAGAGGAATAGACTTTACCTTGCCCTGGGAAACTCAGACCAGACACAAGACTGACACTTGGACCCTGGATCTTTCCAAGAAGTAGTGGTGACTGTGAGGCCTCTTTTCCTGGATAGTCCTGACCCTAGCTTCAAGCTGGGAGATGTGACTCAGCTGTGGAATTACTCAGCAGGAGAGAAGCTGGGCCATAATGGGCAGTGGTAGGTACGTGGGCATAAGCCAGTCAGTCAGCAGGAGTTGAGGAATAAGCCTACCCTAACTTTCTTTGGCCCCTACATGCCTGCGACAAAACACCTCATTGGGTGACTCTGGAAGGTGTACAGGCTCCGGGTGCTGGCTGGGTTGTGAATTGAAGGGGGCTGCAGGAAGAAGGCAAGTTCTTCTAGGGCAGGGTTTTTATGTCATTTTCACTACTGGATCCCTAGTTCCTAGAGTAGGGCCCAGTGTATTGTAGGTTCTCCATGAATAACTGTTGACTGAGCAAAAGAAGGAGTCCCTTGTGCTAAAGACTAAAGCTGTTGACCCAGGGTACTTCCCCATCTCCACCTCCCCCAGCCCTCAGTGGACTATCTTTTCTTCTTGACTCAGGCCCTCCCTCTGCTGGGCAGTTCTTCAGTCCCTCAAGCAAGGAAAGGGTGTGGAGGTACCAGCAGGGTGGGCATGCTGTGGGTTAAAGCCTTGCAAAACAACAGTGTAGTTAATCTTTCTAATTTATTTTCCTTTTAGACCATGGGAAGTCTGTAGGCAGCAGCTGTTACCCAATTAAAATACAGATTAATATAAAAACAGTTTCTGGAATATAAAATAGAGTGGCTGTGTCCTTACACTTCCTTAAAATACCACCTAATAATGACTTGATGAACTACAGAAACCCACCTAGAGGAACTCAGCGTTCTTAAAATGAAAATTTCTTCCCTAAAAGGTGTGTATTACCATTCCATGTAAGTCACTATGAGAAAATAACCTTCCCTCTTAGAGCCCGCGGTTTCTGTGAGTTGGGTATTTGGTATTCATTAAATGTAATTATAGTTTAATTGGAGTTTAATTCCCCCCCACATACACCTTAAAAAAAAAAAAGAAGAAGAAAGAAGTTTCCAAGCCAGCCTGAGATGCTGCTCTTTCTGGAAGTAGCCAAGGGCATGTTGGATGTGACAATTTCTAGCGGCTGACTAGGACTGTGAATGGGGACCTCATGGCTCAGGCCCTTGTAGGCACTCTATCCCTAGTCTGTGCTTGGGGGAGATTTTGACAACAAAACAAAACAACAAAGCTTCTTTGAACCTAGGCCTGCTCTGGGTAGAATAGCATTGTTCTGAGCATAGACCTGTGAGTCAGAAATTCTCCAGACCAAGTTGTATTCATTAGGCCTTCTTGTCTTATTTTCTTCATTGGTTAAAGGTGACTCTGTTTCCCACTTTATTAGTTGGTGTCACATATGCAGGTATGCAGGGTGAAGGGTGGTTCCTGGGTCTTCGATTATGTTAGAGTGTGGCATGAGGGAAACACTGGACATGAAGGCTCAGAGGAGGGGTGGGCTTGACACCAAGCATGCATGCCCTGTTGTGAGCATTCTCCAAGTTTTACAGGACATTGGTGAAGCTTGGAGTTGAATTTGCTTTATACTGTAATTCATGGGGCGATTTTGAGCTGATTGAATAAAAAAGACACATAAAATTAATTTTTTTTTTTTTTTTCAAAATAAAGCTCAGACAGATGTGTGACATACTCTGTGGTCAGCACATACATGTATACTCTCATCTCGGGGCAGGATTTGTGGGGGAAGGTTCACATTGTACCCTAGGACTGTTTTCACAAGGCTTCTAGTCAGGTTCTGAACCTAAAGTAGTATAGGTCAGAGTGCTTTGCAGAAAATGGAGAAGAGCAGAAAGAAAAGGATCTAGTGCAGCTTTAAGTCCTTGCGCCCTGGCTTTACACCCATCAGCTATTTTTCTTTCCTTTCAGCTCACCGGGATTATTCAAGCCATGGTGGATGGTCAGCCAAGCCTGCAGCAAGTGCTGGAGGTAGGTTGAGTGACCTTTAATTCCTGACCTGTGACCCTTTTCTGCTGCCTTTCTCTCCCTCCCCTCCTGAGATGTAGCCGTGTAATTTGACTATGATTATGGCTTGATTAGAATAACATTTGCTGTCACATCAGTGACATGCTGTTGAGAGTATTGAACCATTGATCTGTCATCTCCAGCTGTTCCCATCAGGGTTACTGACAAGATGTCCAAGTGTTGCCAAGAATCAGGCGAAAGGGCCCCCACTTCCTCCTGGCCCATGGCCTTGTGCTGGCTGGCTCTGGGGCAGCTCTGCACTGGGTGGGTGGAGGAGTAGGGCAGCTGAGCTGTGGCACTGTGGGATTAGCCCCGGGGACTGGAGGTGTTTTTGTTTAGCTTTAGTGTTGGCTCCTTGTGGCATGTGAGCACTTCATTAACTCACCCAGAACTCCCCATCAATGGCTTTTGTTTGCTGTCTGCTCCTCCAGGAGGTACGACTGGGCCTGCCTGCCCACTGCAGCTTGCCACTGGATACATTGTGCCTGTCAGTGGTACAGAGGCTGCACTGGGTAATGATTCCTAATCAAAATAATTATAACAATTGCCTATGTGAGGGAAATCAAATTAAAGGCTTTAGAACCCTTGGCAGAGACCACACTTCTAGGATGTTCTCCTAAGGGAGCTAGAAAAGGTTAAGATGCTGCTGCTTGTTCTCCAGCCCAAGGGAATAAAGAAGCATGGTACTTGGCCTCATCTTGTCTCCCACCCCCCTCTGGCTGGGGGCTTCCAGGGGGAGAAGGTCCCTGCCCCTTCCTTCTCTATAGAGGGAAGGGAGACAAGAACAAGCTTGTGGGTCTCATTAGGTACTGTATTTGTTATTAAAACCTATAACCCCAAAGCTCAGACCCCAGCAAAGCATGGGAGAAAGCAGACTCTCTGGGGAAATGGCAAGGTACATCTGCATTGAAGGCAGTCAGCATAGCGGAAGTAGGGTAGTGCAGGGAGAAGAGGAAGATATCTTTCTTTGGCCAAGAGGTTCTATCCCATGGAGCAGAGAGACACAGGTTGAGTCTCCTGGGGCTCCTCAGGATGGAGCCAGGGCCCAAGTGCAGATTTAGGTAAAGGCCTGGTCTTGCTGGGTATTGCCTCACAACAGTCCTGAACTGTCCTGTTCTTTTCCCCAGGATACTGTGCAGGAGTTGAGGCATTAGGGAGCCCTTCCAGCAGGGGGGACACGCTTGGGGATTTAAGGCCAGTGAGCTGGAGCGAGGTTATCCTGACTGGGAGAAGTACAGGTTTGCCTACATCTTTTCTTATGTAACCAAAAAAACCAAAAACCAAACCCCCTGCCATCGAGTCAATTCTGACTCATAGTGACCCTCATTGGGTTTCCAAGGCTGTAAATCTTTATGGAAGTAGATTGCTTCATCTTCCTCCTGTGGAGTAAGTAGTGGGTTAGCAACCCAATGTCTTACTCACTGTGCCACTAGAGCTCCTTCTTTTCTTTAATTGACCCTGCAAAAAGGATAGAGGGGTGTGTCTGTACACAGTTGTGCATGTAAGCACGGGGTTGGGCCAGAGTAGCAGGAAACAGACCATTGAGCAGTGGAAGGTCCAGAATTTAGTTACTGGGAGAGATTGGCTGAGGAAGATTCTTTGCTATACAGACCATGATAAGTTTGGAGACCATATGCTATGAATGTTCTGGCAGTAGGGACCAGCTCTGACATTCTGGGAGGTAGGACTGCTCACTGTAGCCATGGGACTAGATAGGATCCTTGGTCCCACTCAAGGATGGCTTCAGCATGAACCAGACCTCCAGAATCTCAAAGGTATCCATGGAGCCAGCCTGTACCTGCTACAATCAATCTTAACAATTTCCACGGGATCTCCATCACCTGCTAGGTACACAGGCTGCCTAACCTAGTCACCTAGCCTCATTTCTTGCCTCTTCTTTCTATGCGCTGTGGACTTCAGTCACACTAAACTTTTCTTTATTCATGTTTCAATTGTTAAGCAAATATTTATTGAGTAGACACTGTGCTGGGTTAATTAAGCCAGTGAGTAAGACAGAGCTCCTGCCTTCATGGTACTTATAGTCTGGTGGGAACAGTAGGCATTAAACAGGTAACTAATTACTTCTCAAATATAAGATGATTGTTCTTGTACCGTTGCCCCTGCTGCAGAATCTTTCATATGTTCCACTCTTTTAAGCAAACCTAGCCATCAACTTCCTAGTTCAGTTACGTTCTTTGTGAAACCTTTTCTGACTCCTTCCCCTTTGAAAAGCAGAGCTAGCCACTTCCTCCTCTTGGTGCTGTAGTACCCTAATCACATCTCTGTTGCTGCATCCGTTATATTGTATTGTGATGATCTGCATATGCCTTTCTCAACTTCTTAGCCTGATGTCTATTTTGTGGTGGGCAGTTAATACATTGTCACATTTAATCCTCAAAACAACCTGGAAGGTTAGTCATTTTACCCCTTTTTTATAGATGAAGGAAACAGGTTCAGAGGGATTAAATGACTGTCAAATGATTTCCTATCAGTGACACAGCCAGGATATGGAAGAGCCAAAGTTAGAACCCAGATCTGTCTGACTTTCAATCCTGTGTTTTTTACTATTATGTAGTATAGCCTCTAAAAAGAATTCTTCTGTGTATGAGCAGTGCTGTGATCTATTGCACTTCCTCCCCATGCCTGGAATCTTCTAAAAAATAAGTAATGCTTCATGAATTATTTCTGATAATTTTCTTGTTATATACTGATTTTTGTATTTGTACTTCCAGCGTGAGTGCAAAGACTAAAACAGATCAAAGGGATGAAGTTTCCGGAAAGATAGGCTTATATTTAAGAGCAGTTTCTTTCCCTGTCTTGGAATTGAGCTCAATCTTCAGAACATTCTGCTGAATTTGAATCCTCAGCCAGGAGAAGAGAAATACACAGTCTGGGACTAGTTTATGGGCTTTTAGCAATGAGAGCAAACAATGTTAGCCCAGGTGTCAGGATGGGACTCCAGCCCAGCAAAGGGGCCTCTCTTATGAGACTCGGTGAAAATTAAGAAAGGAGATTTTGCTGTGAAGCTTTTTCTTTCTCACTCCTCTGCTGCCCATCATTTCACACACATAACAAAAAATGTTTTTTGATGTGGAGTTGATTCTGACTTACTTGGTTAAGATCTTTGAGGGTAAGGACTGGTTCTTACTAAATTCTTTCTGACACAGCAAATTGGAACAAGAGATGTCAGTAAACATTTGGTGGGTGGATGAAATGAATAAATGAATGTAAGATGATGGGGACTGGAATTGCTGCTTGGGGCTTCCTCCCAGCCTGTTTTCTAGGCCTAGAATAGCCTCTTCCTGTGCTGGGCTGTACATTTGTTTGAGGACCAATGAGAGGAAAGATCAGGTCAGAGCAAGGTATTTGGACTGACTTGCTGGGTTCTGTCCTTGTCCTGTCCAGGGTGGGCTGCCAGGCAGTGGAGAAGTGGAGGAGCTCTCCCCTTCTCCCCCCAGCTTGGGTTTTTGCAGGGATCTTCTTCCAAATACCTCCATAGTCCTGAGCCAAGGTTGAGAGCCCAGATAGCAACCATGGCTGGATAAGATTACAATTTTCTCCTGTTCTGATTACAAGCAGCTTATCTGTGTTTCACTGTTATGGCTCTTCACAAGCTCAGGAAAGGAAAAAAGAAAATCTCATCTCTTCTTGTTGTGTGCTTTTCAGAGGGTCGATGAGTGGATGGCGAAGGAAGGCCTCTTAGATCCAAACGTCAAGTCAATTTTTGTCACCTGTGGAGACTGGGACTTAAAAGTCATGTGAGTATGAGAAGGGCTACATTGCTGGCAGGGCTTGGAACCTGTTAGAGGCCCAAAAGTACAAGCCTACAGGACAGCTGGGTCAGGGATTCCCTGCATCTATGGGACTGCCAGGGCTAGAAGAAGACTGGGAGCCCTGTTTTCTGCCTGCTCTTAAGAGATAGACAAGTCAAGATCCTTACCAGGACTGCTGTTGTTTCTAGCCTTTTGCAAATCTCACTACTCAGGACAGCCTTTCTAATCATTGGGCTACATGTTATTGCCCTAAAAGGAAGGTCTTTATTATTTTATTTTTTTAAAGAAAACATCAAATATATAGTGCTCACTCTGTATAGGCACTATTCTAAATGCTTTAGAAATAATAACGTATTTAACAACCCTGTAGTATACCTATTTGATAGATGAGGCAGTTAAGGCACAGAGAGGTTAAGTAACTTGCACAAGGACACACAGCACATAAGTGGCAGAACCAGGTTCAAACCTAGGCATCCAGAGTCCTTTCTCTTCACTGTTACACTGTGCTACCGGTGGTGGGATGAGAAGTCTGCTTCTAGGGAGCTACCCTGGTCACCAGTCTGGGACATCATCTCTTTCCTCTTTTGTCATTAGTTTTTCTCCTTTGTCTCCTGATTCTGGTTATGGAAGACAAAGCTTGTTTCATTGCTGGGCTAATGCATCTGCATCTTTGCATCTTGTTTGTCCTCGTGGATACCTGATTGCACACAGCCCCTAGGGAACTAAAGGGAGGTGGAGGTAGTGGGGGCACTGTTTGCTGAGGATTGATAGATTTATACTGCTGTGTTGTTTGTGACTGTGAAGGCGGCAGGAAGCATTCTATCTGTGTACACATGTGTGTGTGTGTGTATTTGATCTTTTAAACATAGGGTGGGGTGTCAATTTGGGGTGAAGAGTGGTGGCTCTAGAGTACCTACCAAATCAGGCATTATCTTCTTACCCTTTTATGCCATTTTACACTTTTGGGTACTGGCAGTGAGACAGTTATGTACCCAAGGTGGGTGTCAAGCCTGCTATTGAATACCAACTCTCTGGGTGAACCAGGAGGAGGAGCAAGCCCCAGATGACATAAGCGCATGCATACTTATCTCCCACATCCCTTAGATTGTGTATACACACTGATTACATACCTCTAGGTATGTACACGCAGCTCTCAGAGCTCCAGAGTAACTCCGTACTCCCAAATGGCACTCATTTGTCAGGTAAATTATACAGACTGTAATTGGAAGCAAGTATGAATCAGAGGAGGGTTTCATGGAGAAGGTGAGGAGGAGGAAGCCTGTTGCTCTTGTTCATGGTGTCCCAGGTATCTTTGAGCACTTGAAGCAGGGTAGAGACTTGTGTGGAGCTCTGTAGCACAGGAGCTCTTCTGTGTTGGGTGGGGTTCAGGCTGCATGCCCAGAGTTCTGAGACTCATATGGCCCAGGGGGAAGGCTCTTGGACCCAACTGTCCTGTTCCCGCTTTCCGGTGGTTTCTGTCTACCATATCGTCTCCAAAACACTGGCCTTTTAAAATGTTCTGTTCAGTGAAGGGTGAGTATACATATGTGTTAGTGAAAAACTTTCCTATCTGTGATGTTAGGGACTATCTGGTTAGATCTCATAATCTCAGAACTGGTCTCCCCATGAGATGGAGAGGGAATTTCAGAGGATGCTTTCTTATTTGCTGTTGTTTGTTAGGTACTGTAGAGTTGATTCAACTCATAGCGACCTCACGTACAACAGAATGAAACGCTGCCTGCTCCTGTGCCATCCTCACAATCGTTGCTGTGCTTGAGCCCATGGCTTCAGCCACTGTGTCAGTTCATCTTGTTGGAGGTCTTCCTCTTTTTTGCTGACCCTCGACTTTACCAAGTATGACGTCCTTCTCTAGAGACTGTTCCTTCCTGGTAACATGTCCAAAATATGAAAGGCAAAGTATCGCCATCCTTGCTTCTGAGGAGCATTCCAGCTAAAGACACATTTGTTCATTCTTCTAGCAGTCCATGGTACATTCAGTATTCTTTGCCAACAACGCAATTCATAGGCACCAGTTCTTCTGTGGTCTTATTTATTCATTTGTCCAGCTTTCACGTGCGTATGACCCAAGACTATGGCTTGGGTCAAGTGCATCTTAGTCTTCAAAATGACATCTTTGCTTTTTAGCACTTTAAAGAAGCCTTTTGCAGCATATTTGCTCAGTGCAATACATTGTTTGATTTCTTGACTACTGGTTGCATGGGCGTTGATTGTAGATCCAAGAAAAATGAAATCCTTGACATCTTCTGTCTTTTCTCCATTTATTATGATGTTGCTTATTGGTCCAGCTGTGAGAATTTTTGTTTTCTTTATGTTGAAGTGCAATCCATACGGAAGGCTGTAATCCTTGATCTTCGTCAGTAAGTGCTTCAAGTCCTCTTCACTTTCAGCAAGCAGTGTCATCTGCATATCACAGGTTGTTAATGAGTCTTCTTCCAAGCCTGATGTTCTGTTTTTCTTCGTATAGTCCAGCTTCTCAGATTATTTCCTTGGCATACAGATTGAATTAGTGTGATGATGAAAGGATACAACCCTGATGCACACCTTTCCTGATTTTAAACCATGCAGTATTCCCTTGTTCTGTTCAAACAATTGCCTCTTGATCTATGTGCAGGTTCCTCATGAGCACAATTAAGTGTTCTGGAATTCCCATTCTTTGTAGTGTTATCCATAATTTGTTATGACCCACACAGTTGAATGCCTTTACGTAGTCAATAAAACTCAAAACATTTTTCTGATATTCTTTGCTTTCAGCCAAAATCTATCTGACATCAGCAGTAATGTCCCTTGTTCCATTTCCTCTTCTAATTTTGGCTTGAATTTCTGGCTGTTCTTGTTGACTAACTGCTGCAACCATTTTAAAATTATTTTCAGTATAATTTTACTTGCATGGGATATTATTGATGTTGTTCGATAATTTCCACTTCTGTGGGATCACCTTCTTTCGAACTAGCACAAATAATGTATTTCTTCCAGTTGGTGGGCCAGGTAGTTGTCTTCCAAATTTCTTGGCAGAAGTGAGTGAGTGCTTCCAGCATTTCATCTGTTTGTTCAAACGTCTCAATGAGTATTCCTTCAATTCCTGGAGCCTTGTCTCTTGCTGATGCCTTCAGTGCAGCTTGGACCTTCAATACCATTGGTTCTTTTTTTTTTTTTTTCAATTTTTTTTTTACTTTTCCCATCTGATCTTCTCAGATGTTTATCTGTAGCCTGGTGTTTGGTGTTAATGGTAATGCAGTATTGGATGTACTGGTTGATATTAGTGTCTGTTGTCTATCTTATGTGCACAATTCGGTGTCCTTCCTTTTCTTAATGTTATCATAGTAGTCACAGACTCTTTCTATACCATCCCTCCCCTTATCCATGTCAGTGGGTAATTTTTACTGTGATTTGGGTGAAAGTTTACAGAGCAAATTCATTTTTCCATACGCCAGTTCACATACACCTTGTCTCATGACATTGACTGCAATTTTCAACAATGCAACAGCTCTCTTCCCACTTCCTTCCCGTAGTTACCTCTTCCCTGTGTCCTTCCTTCTCATGCACTCCTGCCCTCCTCCCCCCAGCTGTCTCCCTGTGCATACACAGCCCTTCTTTTCTCCCATGATTGATCTCTCCATGGAGTGTATCTACCTAATGTAAATGTTCAGCTCATATGCCTGTCTTTTGTTTGGCTGGAGGCCACAGGAGTGGGTTCAATTCCAGACCTGAAGGGCAGCTAGGAGCCATAGTCTCAGGAGTTCCACCAGGCTCTATCAGACCAGCAAACCTGGTCCCTTTTCAGTACCGTTGGTTCTTGATCATATTCCACCTTCTGAAATAGTTGAACATTGACCTGCTCTTTTGATACAGTGACTCTGTGTATTTATTCCGTCTTCTTTTGATGCTTCCTACATTGTTCAATGTTTTGAACATAAAATCTTTCAGTATTGCAACTCAAAGCTTGAATTTTTTCTTCAGTTCTTTCACCTTGAGAAATGCTGAGCGTGTTCTGCCTTTGTGGTTTTCTAACTTCACATGTTAGATGTGCAAGTCTTTGCACATCTCGTTATTGTACTTGACTTTGTCTTCTTCTGTCATCCTTTGAAATCTTCTACTCAGATCTTTTATTTCCTCATTTCTTCCTTTTGCTTTAGCTACTCTCCATTCAAGAGCATGTTTCAGGGTTTCTTCTGACATCCATTTTGGTCATTTCTTTCTTTACTTTTTAATAACCTTTTTCTTTCTTAATGTATGATGTCCTTACTGTCATCCCACAACTTGTCTGGTCTTCAATCATTGGTGTTCAGTGGGTCAAATCTATTTTTGAGATGGTCTCTGTATTCAGGTGGGATATGATCAAGGTCATATTTTGGCTCTCATGGACTTGTTTTAATTTTCTTCACCTTCAACTTAAACTTGCATATGAGCAGTTAATGGTCTGTCCCACAGTTGGTCCCTGGCCTTGTTCTAATTGATGATACTGAGCTTTTCCATCACCTCTTTCCACAGATGTAATTGATTTGATTCCTGTATATTCCATTTGGGAGGACCATGTGTACAGTCATTGTTTATGTTGAAAAAAGGTGTATTTGCAATGAGTAAGTCATTGGTCTTGCAAAATTATATCATGTGATCTCTGGTGTCATTTCTATCACCAAGGCTAATCTATCTTTTCTGAATACCAGTGCTGTTGCTTTGTTTTTGACTTACACATTCCAATCACTAGTAATTATCAGTGCATCTTGATTGCTTGTTTGGTCAGTTTCAGACTGCAGAAGTTGGTAAAAATCTTCAATTTCTTCATCTTAGGCTGGTGCTTAAATTTGATTAAAAAAAAAAAACAAACAAAACACCAAACTGCTTTCGAGTCGATTCAACTCATAGTGACCTCTCCTTGGGTTTCTGAGGCAATATCTCTATGGAAGTAGATTGCCCAATCTTCCTTCTGAGGAGTGGCTAGTGGGTTTCAACCGCAAGCATTCTGG